CGTTTGCCCGGCCATGTAGGGTAAGAATTTTTATTTATCATTGCATTTATCACAACACATTCGTCGATATACACTTCCACATTAAGGAGAAACATGTTTGTAATATAATGATACATCTTTATTTATTTTTAAATTATTCACGAAATATTTGGTCGATATTTTTTCTGACTAGTTGAATAAACATCTATTTAATAAAAATAAACATCATGTTTTATTATTGCATTAATAATCGTTATATTCTTCAAATTCTAGAGCAAGATTCCTTTTACCATAAAAAAAACATAACATATTTCGGCAGTCAAAACTACAGCTCTATTTAAAATAAACATGATTTTTAAAAAAAAAAGACGATATGTTACTTAACTGTATCCCATAATAATGAATATAATATTCATTAATAATACGATATTAGTATCGTATTATAAAATACAAACCTAGCAAATAATCATCTTTTCCAATGTTTACTTTTATAAGATGTTTAGCTGTTTTTCGTTCGGTTGTTTATGGCTGTACGCGTTTCCGCAACTGGTATAGCGTTACTAACGATAGTTTTTTTTTTAACTTATTAAACTAGGAGAGGGGATAAAGAGATAGAAAAAAGTGCTTAATCTATTGTAATTTGGTCTCTCAAAAATGGAATTCGCATGATACCCGAGACAGGGGAGAAAAGCATTTTTAGAAATGTAAATTTGGGGGTCGCCTGATACGCGAGATCACGATTTACATGAGTATATACGGTATGTGCTTACCCCCCCCCCCCCCAAAAAAAAAACAAAACAAAAAACTCTTTCAATAAGAACATTCGAGAGAAAAAAAACAGAACTGCTTTTTTTATTCAAAGCAGATGTGTTTCATATACTTTTTTTATATTCTGTTTTATATTTTTACATATCCATATCATATGGGCAGATGTAACCGTAAGTTCTATGTTAACAGTTTCTTTTCTCGCACTTCTCGCTCGTGGAACTCATATCCGGCTTCTTGTTTCGGAATCAAGTTTGATTTTCAAAAATTTAAGCACAATGTCCATCGTAATCATTTGCCAGTTTAATTCCTATTATTTTATTTTATTTTTCTCTCTACTTAACATTATTTTCCCTAATATTCCAACTCACTCAGTAACACCTTTGCATGTTAGTGGCTTTATTGCCTTGCTTGGGGTGAAATGCGTAAATAATTATCAACAATCTTCACATATAAATTCCCTAAGCATTAATCTTGAAACCTAAGATATTTTTACTTAGTATTTCATAAAATTCTTGGTTGTTATTAAAAATTTATTCCGTGTTAATTCATTTGAATTCTTATTCATTTATTCTATACTAAGGCATAAGAGTAGGATTATCTTGGACAGAGCCGACAGTTAAGACAATGGCATCTTGGCTTTGCGCTCTGCCATTTCATCCTGTTTGAGGCTCTTTGTAAGTTTTGTATTTTTGACTATTTGATCTGTGGTCCTCTTATACGCTTCTTCGATAGATAACCTGCTTGAAGCTGTTCCAGTTTATCTTCAATGCATTGTGGTTGTCAAATTTACTAAGATATCATTTCTCATTATATGTGCTAGAAATCTCAGCTGTCCTTTTCGTATTCTTAATATAAGAGTCCTTTTTGATTCATTGTCCTTAAAAAGTTACTCGTTGCTGACACACTCCATTCATGTTGATCTCAGCATTCTTTTCTATAAAGACGTTTCTATTGCCTCTAGTCTTTCACTGTCTTTTCTCTGGGCCTATTTTCTCACATGAAAAAAAAAGAAGCGAATTCGCCTCACCTAAATAGATTACATCCAGTTTTTCATCAACCTGCTAAACGTGCCTATGTCACCCTGAGCAAATACAATTAGCAATATCCGTGTGTATTGGCATTTGCGTAATCTTAGAAGCACTTTTAAAACATAAATTTACAACATTTTCTCCATTACGCCAAATAAGTCTTTCTTTGTTTTCAGAGTGTCTGGTTGTTATTAAAAGTTTATTTCTTTGAATATACATAAAGCGAGAGTTAATTAATACGGCCTTTTATTTTCTTCTTCTAAGCTACGTCATGAGACTGGAGTTACCTTGGAGACAGGCTGCAGATAAGTCAATAGCCTCTTGACTTTGCGGAAACGACGGGAGGTTCTTGACTTTCGTTCTATTACTTTGCAGCTAATCTATTTCTTATTTACGTTGCAGACAGTGAAGATTGCTCTGAGTAAGTTATTTATAATTAATATGAAACTGTCCTCTACAAAGCCGCATTAAATATACGTGTGTTTCACTAAGTCCTATCCGAATAGTTGTGTATATAGCTTTATATCTTCTTCGAAGTTCAACTGTGAGTATTTAATCCCGTGAGGTTAAGGGAAACAACAAAAATGCGGTTTGACCATGTTCACATTCACCAGAATATCAACCATTTTGCATATGTTTTTATTCTTCTGTAGGCTCGTTTATTTCAAAATCTACTAGATCTGAAGAACTTAATTCACCCTATTCTATACAATCCATTATGAAAGATGCTAGAAAATTGATCAGAAATTTACATAGGGTCATAGATTACCATATATACTCGCGTATCATGCGGTCTTTGAAGACCTAATTTTGAAGCTAATTTTAAGCGGGTCGCATCATACATGAGATATAAAATTACCGTATGTACTGCTGGGCTTGGCTACGCTGTTGACCACATTATATATACTTGGCACTCAAGTCGAACTGGTATATACGATCCATTATGAACGATGCTAGAAAATTGATCAGCGCATTCTAACACTCCAAGAAGGAACTGACTGTTTCTACCATTCACATAAGTCAGATTAGAACTGAAATGGAGTATTACTGACACATCTGGCTGAAACTGATCAATACTCATTTTTCAGACATGACAGAATTCAAAATCGTTTGCCTGGCCATGTGGGGTAAGAATTTTAATTTATTATTGCATTCATCACAACACATTTGTCGATATACACTTCCACATCAAAGACAAACATATTTGTAATATAAATAAACATCTTTATTTATTTTTACATTATTCACGAAATATTTGGTCGATATTTTTTCTGACCAGTGAAATAAACATCTATTTAATAAAAATAAACATCATGTTTTATTATTGCATTAATAAGGGCATATTAATCGTTATATTCTTCAAATTCTAGAGCAAGGTTCCTTTTTACCATAATAGTAATAATAGTAAAAAAAACAAAAACATAAAAAAGAACAACATATTTCTGCTTTTTCCGTAGTTGCCCTTTTGGGTAAGACTTACGGTCACATCCTGCTGAAACACCAATCTCCATACAATCACAGAAGTTAAGCAAGGTCGAGCCTGGTCAGTACCTAGATGGGTGACCTCTTCTTCATACCAGCTGCTTGGATGTGCGGGTAGCTTAGTGGATAATGGGTCGAAATTGATAATCGGAGAGTCGATTTCCCATTCCCGTTGGTTTCGTTATAATTTATTCTGGTTAAATAGCATTAGAATAGGTATCCTTATTGAAATATGTATTTCCTTTCGGGCAAATAGCATCAGAGTAATATTTATTCCGTGCAAATAGCATTGAATATATATATTGACTTCCAGGCAAATAGCATTAGAATATTATTTATTCTGTGCAAATAGCATTAGAATATTATTTATTCTGTGCAAATAACATTAGAATATGTATTCACTTCGTGCAAATAGCATATATTCCTATGTATGAACCGACCTCTTATCCTTCCAGCTAATTATTAAAACTTTTATTGCTAAACCATTATTACCTAAAAAATGAAAATTCTTACAATCTAAAAATATTTTCTGATTTTAAATAATCTATCTTCTTATATGTAGTGTATGCTTTCAGGGTGTGTCCGATCATTGCTTTCCATAACCTCTAACCTTTTTCCGACATCTATCCATAAAAGCTCGTCAGGTATTTCATTTCTCACATCCTTCTTGCCGTCTATACGACCTGTGAATGTCAAATTCTCCATGCCTTCCTTTTTCATTTTGTAACCAAGAGATTTCAGCAGTATCTTACCGAGTCTGTGTATGTCTCCTTTTGGCTTCATTTTTTTATAAAATTTCTTCTTTCCTTAGGCACTCTGTCCACAGAATTTTCCACATCCGCCCGTCGAATAGCATGTCTTCATCTGTGAGGAGATTGTTCAGCCTTCACTGCCATACAAGAGGGGTTGTTTTTCTATGTCTGTAACAAAATTTTATTGTTTCTTATGTCTTTGTTTCTAATGGACGGAAAGTGAGAATTGTGCAAACTACAATTTACGGCGAAATAGAATTTAGCGCTTCATCTACGCCTGGCCGAAAATTACTTGTAATACTAATGGTTAATTTTCTCAAGTGCAGTTTTTTTTTCTTAAACTTGCAGAACTCGTTTTCTTATTCAATCTGCAAATAATTAATTGATTGACCCTTATCAAAAACGAAATGCTATTTTGAATCCTATCTATTCTGCATTCGAAATTGTGAATTGTTCTTTAACATTAAGCTCACCATAATTTCGTGCTTTTCCCTCACGAATGCTTGTTTTGTTTTTAACTCTGAAGTTTTTACAGTCAATTTTTTTCGAGTTATTTCCCCTCCCATTATAGCTATTCTTCTGATAGGCATTTCCCTTACAGTTTTCACTTCTACATTCTTCTGAAAATAATTTTTTCTTTTTTTCCCCCCTACCGTTTCTCTTATTTCTCGTCGCAATTTGCCTCCAATGTAAGTTAAAAGTAAGTATTTCTGTAGCAGTGCCGAAGGGTGGTGTTCTAAAACAAGTAGAAAATCTAGGATTCTTTGTACTGTTTTTTAGGCACGTAGGTTCTCCCTACTCTCTTCATCTTCGTCGACTCCCATGTTCACTGATTTAATCTTAGATCGAATTCAAACAGAATCATGAGGCCTGATTGGAAATCAAAACAGTGTTGCGTTCTCTAACAGTTTTATAGGCCAATTTTGAATCCAAGAGATAGAACGTTGAAAGCTATCATTATGATTTGGTTCCTTATATTTGGAATATCGTTATGAAATTTCTATCTATCTTCAGCCTACATTTTCTAAATGCCAAGGTTAGTAAAGAATCAAACAGCAAACAAATGCTTCTCATAGGGGAAATAAATATTTCCTTTCCAACAAGTAACTGGTTTTAAAACCCAGGTAAAATGTTCGAATTTTGAATTCTAATGATCTGAGCCAAAAAATCTGCTATAATTGGATGACTGTATAGGTCCATATAACGATATCCTAGCTTGCTATATACAGAGCTGAACATTGCACTTGATACTTCAAGGTTATTTTGCATTTTCTTGTGTCAGAATTCCTAGATTTTGGTTTTCCATGACCCCTTCTTTATCGCTAAGAATGGTGGACAATCTTGTCAGAGACGAAAGAAGTGGCGTTCGGCAAGAGAAATCTGGTTCTACAGAAGGATGTTGAGAATATCATGGACTGATCATGTGAGCAATTACGAAGGTTTAGAGAAAATGAAAACACAAATGGGTACTTATACTTCATATAAAAAACGACAGTTGAAATTACATCGATTAGATTATGAAGAAAGACTTATTATAAAATATGACACGAACAAGGCATACTAAAAGGAATTGGTACAGAAGAAATCAGAAAATAAACTAGCTAAATAACTTATGCAAATAATCGGCAGAACAGGGATTAGGGGAGATAGTGAAAAGACAACAACTACTACTACTACTACTACTACTACTACTACTAGTACTACTAGTACGAAGAGATTTCTTTTTATATAACCTTAGTTTTTCTCCGTGATGGTTTACAGGTTTTATTTCCGGAGTGACTGACAACTAAAATATCAATAAATGATTCGTAGATTAAGGCTTATTTGATGAGCAATATTGAGTTGATAGAAAGAATATTTGTTTTAAAGAAGGTATGTGTTTTTATTTTCTATTTCATTTATTGCATTATCATGAAACTATTTCCAGAGAGATGGATGAAATGAAGAAGTTATGTTCTTTATCGCCAATTCATTTCTACAGGTGGAAAAAATATGAAGTCAATACCGGATGTGGAAATTTCTTGACTTAAAACTGTAATCATATTATAGAATTATAAGCGAAATTCTGCTTTTCAACGACGAGACATCTGTCATGCTATGTATATAGGATATTCTAAATGTTTGTATGAAGAAGTGAAAGAAGCAGGGATTTCTCAACTGTTAATGACAAAAAAAATGGAATCGTCAAGCCGAGTTCAATTTAGCTTTCTGTAGAATCGTGTGAGAAGGAGAATATCGTATATGTGAGTAGGAAGTGATTAATTCAAGCATGACTGACAGAAAAGGAGTGTTAGATTAATGCCTGTAAAAAATTCTAACAGTTTATTATTATAAAATTGCAGCGAATATGTTACATTCGCTCAAATATGTCTCAAATAATACCTTTTATCTTAGTTTTCAATGGAAATACATTGGAAATCAAGACAATGATTTGTCGGTGGTAATTAATTAATCAGCTGTCATTGATATAACAGTTTGACTGAGAAATGAGCAGTGGCGTAAGAATAGCGGAAGAAGCCTTCCAGAAACTGAGTAAGTTATCAAGAGAAAAGACAATATCGAAAAGAGTGCTGAATTGCTTTATGGCATTTAATCTTATATTCCAGGTAATCCTAGATAATCTGCTCAAAGATAACGTAATTCGAAGCAACAAAGTTTTGGTTCTGTAATGAATGCTGAGAATACCATGGATATTAACATTTGAAAAATGAACTAGTTTTACGTAAAATAGAATCTACAAGGACACTCTAGTTTTGTTTTTTTATATATTTATTTTTGATCGTTTAATCACAAGCAAAGCGATAATGCCATACACTATAACGCAGGGGGTTACCGGGAGTTAAAGACAATGATGAGACTTTAGTGAGGATGAGGTAAGGGCAATAAAGGAACGGTATTTAAGATAACAGTAGATGGCGATTGACGTTGTATTTAAATTTTTAAACATTGTAGTTATTAAGGAAGCAAGAATTATAAAAAAAATGTTCCACAGATGGGAAGTGCGAGAGAAGTGGCGCTTGCATCTAGATAATTCAATAAGACCTAATTGAGAGTCTAAAACTAAATTCTTGTAGTCGTAACACCAGGGGAAAAATCCCATCGTAATAATTATCATGGAAATATTTGTAGAAAAGACAAAAATAAACCACATCACATCGGCGATAAATTGACTGCAATCGAGATGCCTGGTCAGGGTCAATTCTATTACAAGTCCTTATTTGGATTTTCTCAAGAATATCGAGAGTCAGAACAGGATCACCAGACCAAATATGGGAACGCTATTCAATATACGAAGGAATGGTAGTTTTATAAATGTGCAAAATGGATTCTGACATGAAATGTTTTCCGGCGCGACACTGAGAGGCAATAGTCGCTGGAAAACGTGAGGCCAAGAAGGCATAGATTTTCTTTTCCCCTCGAGTTTTGTATTAGCCACGCTGATGTCGGACAGCAGAAAGAGACAGATAAATATTTTGGGACATATAATTCGA